TTTTATATAAAAAATTACTAATAAAGAATTACATGTATTAATGGTCAAAGTTATGCAAACATGAAAAGATAAGAGTTGCAATGCAAATGAAAGTATAAAGTATTTTTTTGAAGAATATCTTGGATTCAGAAAGATTTGAGCAACAGAATAAATAAAAAAGTTTTGTCTCATAAATTTTGATAGAGTTTAAGGTTCATATTATAAATGAAATTAAACGATTAGAAACTTGCAAGAAGAAATTTGAGGATGTCAGATTGTCTCAAAAAATATTCATGGACTCTATCGATATCCACACGACCAGATGATCGGCAGGCTAGAAGAGATAAATGAGTTTTGTAAATGATGAAATCCTCCTGCAGTACCTAGCCAATGCTCCAATGTGGCTCAAAGTCTCTGGATTCAGATCCTCTGCCGTGCGGCAGAGGTGCCTTGCGGCATCGGGTGGGCAGAAGAGGAAGCAGGCGCCTCGAGATGCGGAGCTCCAAGATCTTTGGCCGTTGGTTTGTTGATCGGACGACTTAAAAAAGCCGGGCACCCTACCTTGCGGCAAAGCAAGGCAGAGGTTCCGGTCCCAAAGTCTCTATTCGGAATTGGGGCTATTAATTAATGTCCTAATGATTCACATTCTTTAAGTTTGTGACATTGTACCGTGAATTATGATTTAATATATTTGCTAGTTTCCCTTTCAAAAAAAATATTTGTGACATTGTAGATTATATAAAGTTGGTAGCAGGCCTAATCAATACTTAGGGCATGCAAGCCTAAGCCATAAGCAAACTAAAGAGTACCTTCCGGTCAGGAATTCCTGACCGGAAACGCCGTCCGGACGGCAGCTTTTGAGACCCTTCCCGGAGGAATTTTTAATAAACTTTTTATTGCATGTTCTTCATCAAGTCTAGTTTATCCACAAAAAATTCAAATGAAAATTCATATGCATATAAAACGCAGTTATCTTCCAAAAATCATTTGACGACCTTCTCGATTGAAATTTTAGCTTATTTTTTTGTAAATAAACTAGACTTAATGAAAAACATGCTATAAAAATTTCATCAAAAAATTTCAATGAATAGGCGACCAAATGCCGCCGTCTGGGCGGCGGTTCCTGTCCCGAATTCCGGACATGAACTATTCTCTTAAACTAAAACCCTAAGGGTATGTTTGGTTCAAGGAATGTCGGATTACCATGGGAATGTTAGATTACTGGGTATGTTAGATAGATGGGAATGTGATTAATGTATAGCCCATTTCTGTTTGGTTACGATTAAGGGAATGTCACATTAAGTTGTTTGGTTGAATGATATCTTATATTGCATATTTGGTGAATTATTTGAATGCCCTTTAAATATTTGTTTCTTAACACAATAAACTTATCAACTATTTAATGGTTTCACGCACAATATGGAAATGCACCCCCTCCCCAGACACAAACATCTTCATTTAAAGGAAAATCATTTTTGAAATCTACATTTGGCAATCTTATGGAAAAAAGTAAATCAACTCCCGTTGTTGAACAAATAAAGCTCAGTTAAGGAGCTTTCTATGTATCTAACATTTCTTGTTGATTATGAAGAAGATGATAACTTTGACATTCTAAAGTGATGGAAGGATAAAAAAAATAAAGTTTCCGATTTTATCAAAGAAGGCTAAGCAAGTGCTATCAATGTCGGTTTCAACAGTTGTCGTAGTACAAGAATTTAGTGTGGCCGCCAACGTCCTAACGGATTATAGAACGAGATTGAGCGCAAACTCTCTTGAGATGCTCGTTTGCTACCACGACTAGTTGAAGGCCCAACGTAGAACTCAAGAACTTAGCATCACCCCCACCCAACACTTTATGGAGAAAACAACAACTGACGGTGGCGGAGATTCCGATTGATTATTATTTATTAGAAAATGTATTTCATGTTTTAATTTTTTTTCTCAATTCTCAATTGTAGTTCATGTTTCAAATAAATATACTTTAAGTTTCTTTTATATGTAGCACTTCTTGAATTAATTTTTAAACATGAATTTAAAAAAACTGTACCCAGCCCGGCCTGTTACCCGGGCGGGTAGACCGGCCCGAACCGGTACCGGTCAACAGCCGAGCCGAGCCCGGGCTACATTCCCAAAAAGCCAAGCCCAGCCGGGCCCAACCCGGAATTAGAACAGGACCGGGCCCGGTCCACCCCTAGATATGGTCGATTAATGAAGCATGGTTTTTTTTTGGGAAGAAAATTAATAAGCCGCCAGGAATCTTACAAAACCTAAGGCATTGGTGGGTTTGGCATGCCTGGTAATGTGATCACCTTTTTCACTTTTAGGAATGTAACATTCCCATAAAAAATCAAACCCGCGAACCAAACACAGATATCTCACATTTCAGGCATGAGATTCCGCCCTCTATAAGATATCACCATGTTTATTGGTTTTATGATCCGCCTAGATCAAATGATCAATGCTGCGGAGTATTTTAGTGCAGCAAAGGGTGGAAAGAAATCGTAGCAAAAAATGAAAAACTGCGCATCCGGGGAATCGAACCCCGGTCAGTACCGTGGGAGGGTACTATGATACCACTACACCAGATGCGCTGTGTTTGTTTAACGTTTATACAAAACTTTATTTAACACTGTCAAGCGACTAACCGTTAATTGATCTCTATCTTCTTTACTTTTACAAAGGCTTTAATTTTACTTGTGATGGATTGATATATGGGATGCTCCGTGTTTTATTAATCCAAATCAAAGCTTGAAAGAAAAATTATACTTCTTCCGTAATATTTTAGTTGTAACATATCACTTTTCACATTTGTCAATGCACAACTTTGATCGTTAAAATATCACATTTCTTATAAGTAACATAAATAAAAATCATATTTTGAAAATTTAAAATGAGAAGAAATTTAACAATATTTTCAAAGTTGGATGCAGGAGGATGGAGGAAGACAAATCGAGAAGTTTATCACATCACGGAGAATTTTTTATTACTTTCGTTTCAATGTGAGCTCTTTCTATGTCTTGTATATTTTTTGTTTTCCAACTCGAAACTTATGGTTGGTTTTTGTGTGGGTTGATAGGTTTGTGTTTTAGGAAGAGAAATATTGTGATTTTTAATGCTAGTAGTTATTTCAAATCTCTAGCATGTTCAGCGAAAGGTGTTGCTCAATTACAAGTCTATCTTTCTAAAGTATGATCAGGGAGTGAGGGGTGGCTTATGATTATTGCGAGTCTCAAAGGAAAGATACTTTGTAGTGTGTGTTCGATGGATGCAAAAGCTTTGATTCGTTTAAATTAATAATGTTTGACAATTTTCTTTCAAAAAACATGAAAGAAAGAACCAATTAATATGATTTTCACAAGATTTGCAATTTAATGCCCTAAGCAACATTAAAGTAGTGTACACAAAATAATCACTATAAATTTCTTTTTTTATACATCATCATTCATGTTACATCATTTAGAGGTCATTTTTTACGTCATACAAAAGGATGACACCTCATCTCTGAGTGTCCCCCTGCACCGGCCGAACACTTTACCAGGAGGATGTAAATTGGATTTCAATCACAAGCTGATAGATAGGGAGTGAGCCTCTAGCCCTGACTTTAATCATATGCATTTTCACACAGTAACCTCTCAACGCAGCTGCCGAGATTCGAACTAAGACTTACCCCTTGTGACATCTTTTACCTACCAGTTGAGCTACACCCACCAGCAAACTAAGGTATGAGTTAACTTTTTGTGGTGATGAATGGCAAAATATGCTAGGGTTCATGTTATTAGCTGTTAGTTTTTTGTGGTGATGAATGGCAAAATATGCTAGGGTTCATGTTATTAGCTGTTAGTGATTCAATGTCAATAAAGGTTCACGTATCAGAGCAGGTATTAATCTATCTAGGGGTGGATCCGTGGAGGTAGGAAGCTTGTCCATGCCCACCTCAGATTTAAAAAATGTTTACATTTTATGTGTAAAAATTTATCTGCTTTTTATGTGTCATTCCACCTCAACTTTTACTCCCTATGCCCTGAGCATATAAATATCCAATGAATCTTTCTGTTTAACATAGTTGAGAAGCTAAACACCAAATGTTCACAATAGAAATGGGGTTACAAATTGAGAAAATTACTAGGAGTATCAAGTATGACACCAACTAAACTAAAGGAGTGTTTGCAACAACTTAAGTTAAGTACTCCGGTACTTTTCAGCTTTTAGTTTTAAAAAAGTTGATATTGGTGTTTTCAAATGTCACTTCTGCTTAAATTAAACACTTAAAAGCTAAAATCTAAAAGTTAGGATAGGCTGCTTCTAACTGCTTCTCGTTTCTTTTTGTGATTAATTCAAACTTTAGGTATGATTATAATGATGTTTTGTCCAAATGTACCCCATCTCTTCTTCACGTGCATCTAGCCATGCGACCTTTGCGTACCTTCTCCTTCCATAGACACCACACATCCATAAAAGAGGTTGCACACCGGCCTCTGTGGCGAAAAGCTCTGGAGGCCTCCGATAGAAGCAGCCAAGAGAAGCGCCTACAAAACTAGAGAAGCGTGCACACAGCTGTTGAAACTCAACCAGTGGTCTCAACCGGAAGCTATGGCCAATGCCCAATGGCGGCGACGAAATTGGGGGTTGCACGGGTCTATTTTCCAAGAAACTGAATTGATTTTCTTGGATTGTTGGTGCTTTATGCTATGTAATTTTCAATCTTCTATAGAGATGCTACGGCCATTGGAGAGACGATTGCCAATAGGGTTCAAGGGCTTTTTTGTAGTTCACCGGAATATTACATTAAAAAGCACTTTTTTTTATCAAACACTTCAACTTTAACTCTTCCACCTTAATCACTTTTATTATAAAACACTATTAACTTTTACTACGAAATAGTTTTTCAAAAATCACTTTAAAAATTCACTTTTTTGTAGTAGAAGCAATCACACACACTCCCTAAAAGAGTTGGTGATTCCTCAATATGACTAAATAGTATTTTATTTCTAAGATAATGATATTTTGCATGTATGGTAAGTGTTTTGAAGTTATTTTTCTCTCTTGAATTTAAATATTACTCATATATTAGGAAATTGTAAATGTTTTGGTCACATTAAATAAATTTCCCATAGCATATTCATACAAACTACATTTCAGCATTAATGCATATGAGGAAGCCATTTTTACAAAGCAGTACTTCACATTGTAATTATATACCAGCAATGGAAGTTACTAAGTGAGGACTGAGGTCATTCACAAAGAATTCCAGCTTACCTATCCAGCTCCCGGTGGAGATTAATAATGCTTAGTAACCCACTTCATAATTCTCCAACGTATCTCAGGACAAGTAAATAATCTTTCGGAATTCGGAGTACTTTGCTATAATGGTCAATACTTATTAGAGCTTTGCAAGGGCATATGAAGGCAACACGGTTGATCTGCTTGGCAACTCTAAATCTCTCCAGTCTACGTCATCTACCTTGACAAAGTACTGATGAACCATCTCATCTGTGACCAGTTCCAAGTTGGATGGCTCCCACTACAGAACAAAACATAAAAAATAAGTCACAACAGACAAAAGATGAGATTCAAGCTTTTACTGCTGCAATAATGAGTGTGTAAAACATGAACATACTAAACCTTGGGGTTTCTATCCTTATCCAAGAGTATAGCTCTGCATCCCTGTATTGAAACAATGTTTTATATTTCCTGAAAACATAGGCAAGTAGAAACTACACATGAAAAGGAAAATGAGGTGACTTCACCTCGACAAAGTCCTTGGAGACCTCTCCACGCAGAACATGGCATACCATTCTAAACTCGCGCATTAGGCATGTGCCTACACCTTGCAGCCTCCCTTCCCGTATCTGAAGAGCAAGAGTAAATCACATTCAAATACAACACCTTATAATGTTTACATTGCATAACCAGATACTATAATTATGATGCTATATATGCTACCATATATATACTTTTTCCAGTGATTTAATCATATGCCATTTTTAAGACCAAAGTAATAGAATACAAGCGGTGCTGTTATACAATCTAAACATCTCTGCATTTAGCTAGATACACTCCATGGCATGGCCAATAGTTTTCAGTAGGGGTGGATAGAGGTCAGGTCAGGCTTTCATCTAAAAAGGCCAGACCTGTTTTAAAAAGTTTAGACCTTAGCCTGGCCTGTTACCAATTAAAAGCCTATTTATTTTGTCTTAGCCTGACCTGCTAGAAAGCTGGCTTGAAGCCTCTTTACCAAGCCTGTTAAAGAAAAAGTTAAATAGTCCAAAAAAAATTAAAATGAAAATTTAAAAATCCTTTCTACACTATATCTAAACAGCCTGATAATATCCTAGTTTTGTAGCTTATAAACTTTTATGTACTTCAAAATCATGAAAAACTTTAAATCTTAAAGGCCTCTTAACCTAATAACACATTGCATATGTTCAAAATAAATATATTCTAATAAATAATACACACACATAAATATACTCTTTTATAATTTAACTTTTTATAGCTAAATTACTTATAGATATGTATGTGTGTGTATAGGCTGGCCTGTTATGCTTAGCGGGACTCAGAGCTGGGCTAAGTCTGGCATATTTAGATAAACGGGCTTTAAAAAAGCCCAAGCATAATTTGTCTACTAAATAGACCTGCCCACAGCCCCTGACAGGCCGCCTGGCCTATTTCCACCCCTAGTTTTCGTGGTTGAAATATATCATGTATTCTGACCACAGAAAACATACACTTTACAATAAATAAAATATCCACTATGGCTCTCTCAACATCAACATAGTCCTAAGCCCTATTACTACACATCAGTGTTGGAGAGTGCTTATGGATGCATACTGATCTTAGAGAAATTCTTAGACTTGTAGGTGATGCTTTCTTCAGTGATTGAATTGCTGAAGAAATCCAATCATCCTCGTTATTTGCAGCTTCACTTTCCTACATACAGATCATCATTAACCATACTCTGCTAGTGGACCACCAGCTGAAAAGTACACAAGGATAAAGGAAACAGATTTTTAGCATAATCATTACTCAGTTACTTACAAGCGCAAAAATGATTTCTTCAACTGTTCTTTGAGAGAAACAGCGATTGATGATCTTTAACCTGCATACAAAAATGCAGAAATTTAGACTCCGACAATGCATAAGCCAGTCCAGAGAGATCTTCCAACGGCGCTACTTAACTGTTTTTAGAAGAGAACTTGACATGCATCATGAGACATTGACATTGAATTGATTTATATATTTTGTCAGGCTAAAATATGTGGCACTTCTGAAACTTTTGAAGTACATACAGGAAGTGGCAACAAAAAACGATTACGTAATACCTAAAGTGATAAGTGTAGTTAAAAGAAACTGTCTTGTACAATGCGAGAAACACAGTAAGCAAGAATTAACAATTTACCATTACTTAACAACATATTATGCCAAATAAAAGAAGGTTAGTAGGTTACCATGCAATAAGATATCACAGATTTAGCTTAATCGTAGTCAAACAATCAAAGCACATACCAACCCTTGCAGCACAAATTAGGAAGGAAATAAAACTGCTGAAGTTAAGTTAAAGTTAAGTTGAAGTTAAAGTAGAAGTTCAAGTTTGGATGCTCAGTGAGCACCATTCCCATTCAAGAAGGGTTCAAGTGAAATGTTGTTCAAGTGTTTACATTGTCAATCTACAAAGCTGAAAACAAATTGAAGTAAAGTTCAAGATTCTAGCAATGCTTAAGGTTTGTGTAACAAGCTTGGAGCATATGACGTTCCATCTTGATGGTAGTGTTAAAATATAAAAATGATAATATAATAGTCATACAGTCATACTATTAGCAATATTACAATTTCCTATCCTTTAAGTTTACGTTATAGGTTTCCCATTCGCACCAGGTTTAGGACTTTAGGTCCTCATCCTCTATTTCTCTATTAACCACAGAGCTGTAAGCTGAAAGATGAGTCAGTAATAGTAGCATATTATTCAGCAGCCATTCAATGCAGATGATTATGGCATTCCAGTGTTCAAACTCAGCTTTGAACAGAACAAGTGCATTGTGTGTGGAGAATTGGAGATAGATGAACTTACTGATTATACATGCTCCTCTCTTTTAGTTTTGGTACTTGTGAAAACTCACTGATAATTGCAGATATAATTACTGGGTCACTTGAATTGCTATTATGTAATGCTTCTTCTAAGGGTGACAGTCTCTGGATAATAAGAAAAGAATGTGTTATAAAGTTGTACTTAAAAGAGAGGGGATGAAATTGTTAAGGGCAGACGGCATAGCTAATTCAGCAGTGGTGTGATGAATTGCAGACATGGTTTAAGGGCATGTGTAATGCCTACATGTATTCAAAAGGAACATTCTACCACATAGGCAGCAGGGATATGCTAATAAAAGCATATTAGTTCTTATGAGATGGATTGACCTCCTTTCTCTTGGTTTTCTCTCTTATTTTCTTTTATCTTTTTATCTTCTTTATCTTTCTTATGTTCTTATGTTATTTTTATCTTTTATCTTTCTTTTGTTCTTTTGTCTTATCTTTATCTTTATCTTTATCTTTATCTTTATCTTTATCTTTATCTTTATCTTTATCTTTATCTTATCCTTTTTATCTTACCTAATTTTTTTATATTTTTCCTTATCTTTCTTTTCTATTTGGCTCTGATGTCATGGACCGGTTCATGTTAGCCAACCCCAAAATCTTTTGGGAATAAGACTTAGATGTTGTTGTATTAGTTCTTACGAGATCTGCAGCTAACTATTATTTAAAAACATTTAGTGCCAAACACAAGACTAAACAAACTCTCTGAGTTTCTGTAGTATGGTAACTTAATAGGCTATCTAAACTAGAACTCAAAGGCTAAATGTGATTAATATCATATTAGTGTCCTTTTCCTAACAATAAATTACTGTAATAGATACCATTTAAGATATTGTTTCAATAAGATTACATCCAGTATGGGTATTGAAGTACAGAATTTCTAATTGTCTACCTCTGAAGGGACAAAATGAGTAGCTAGACCACTTGCAACCATTTCAGCACCATCCAACCTAGAACCAGTCAGGCCAAGATATTCTCCTGCCGAAGAGGACAAAGATAGAGTTAAAAAAAGCATACCTTCTTTATGGAAAAAAATAATCATATAAATTTATGTAAGGTGAGATTAAATAGATCTGCACCAGAGGAAATTAAATCAATGTATCCAGAGGAAAATTAAACTACAAAACTCACCAAAAAAACCAGGAAGCCTTGATAAAAAGTAGGAGGCACCTACATCTGGGAAAAGGCCTAAAGCTGTTTCAGGCATAGCGAAAACCTGCAAGAAAGCAACCAGAAACAGCATATCTTGAGTCCCCAGTACCATATAGTAAACCAAACCAAATCTGAAAGATTGCAGCAATTATTCAGTGGGAAAAAAAAAAGATATTTATGGCAACTAATTTCAAGCCACACATTTCAAAGTCATGCAATGCTGTCGTTCAACTTGGCAGCATAAACATCTTCCTACTTTATCAGTCAGCTTTTAGCTATCTTTTGCAAAATCAATTATTCAGCCACAATTTGTAGCATAAACAACAGTCTTAAATCTTTTCAGGGGCCAAAAAAACAATAATCTGAGGACAATAAATGGGCTACAAGGAGGTAATTTGTCTGAACCCCTGTTCTAAAAATCGTTCTAGGCGCCTGACTAGTCCCCGGCTCTCCGCCTAGGCGCTAAGCGGTGGCCGGACACCCGGTTTTAGTCTAGGCACTCCGACTAATTGATTCGGCGCCTGTTTGAATTAGTCGGCCACCTAGGGCGCCTATTTGAATTAGTCGGCCGCCTAGGGTGCCTAGTTGCCGGCCCATAGCGCTTAATCGCCGCCTAGGTGTCTAGATTCGTCGAACATTTTATTGTACTTCTTTATTTTAGTATTCTAGGAGATATATGCACCTTTAACTTTAACAACGCATATGAAGAAAGCTACTAGTTGTGGATTAAGATAAAAACTATACATGTTAATATATATAATATTTAGTGTTATTATTATTTAATACAACCTCCGTCCCTTTTGATTTAGCCATCTTTGACTTTTCAAATCAAAGGTGATAAACTTTGATTCATTATTTTAACTAATATATTTATGTGAAACTTAATAATTTATACTTTTATGATAACATTTTTAACAAAAGAACATTTTTATATAATTTTCATGTTATCAATATTACCGTGTATAAATATATAATCGGTCAAAGTTGAACAACTTTGACTTGAAAAATAGTGTTTGGCTAAATAAAAAGGGATGGAGGGAGTAATATTTATTACAGTGAGTAGGTATAATATATACTAGTAACTAAATGTGACAGCTCTCATTCATGCATGTTAATGTATGAGTGTGTATATTTTTTATACACACACAAACACAACATTATTAATCATATTTATACAAAAATATAGATAAAACTATATTATCTATGTCTCCGACTAGTCCCCGCCTAGTCACCTAGGCGCTGGGCTTGCGCCCGACTAGCGCCTAGCGCCTTTTAGAACATTTGTCTGAACTATTAAAAATTGATGGGGGGTCATACCGTTTTCTCAGTAGCAACTCGGAATCTTCCGTGTACACTAGCACCTGCTCCACCTCCCATGACAATTCCGTTAAGGATTGAAACCTACGCATAGAGTTCAAAGGAGTAAGAAAGATTCTTAAAAGGGAAGGAATTCAGATAAAGTAAAAGAAAGCAATCATGGTCAATAGTTAACCTGGGGTTTGCTATAAGTTGCCATTACATAGTTCATGGTAAACTCTTTTCTGAAATACTCTGCACCAAACTTCCAGTTTCCTAATATTTTTGAAAAAAGGAAAATAAAAAAAGAAAAGCAATATTACTGACATCAGCTGCCAAGATATACACATCCTAAAAGTGATAAACATAAACTTCCATCAAAATGATATACCTTTTTTAATATCATGAACTACAGCTGTAACATCTCCACCAGCACAAAAAGCTCTTCCACTACTCTGCTAATAGAGAAATATGCCAACTATGGATTAACAACCACTGTTAAAGTGTTAATCATAACAACATTAGCAGGATAGTGAACAACATCTTCGTGTTAGGCTGATGAAGTACTAAACTACATAGTTCCATGCTTATCTTAAAGATAATAAAAGCTCATTATCTTATGACGTGAAAGAAAAAAGTTCTTCTATGAAGAACAATGATGCACCTTAATAAATAAACAAAAGCAACAAAAGATTTTGGATCATGGACAAAAATCATCTTACTGCCCGATAACATGTTTACATGTATTCTGTTCTTTTTACTTATCTAGCTAACCAACACATCAAATAGCCAAATTGACTGCCTTACGAGACCATACACGTGACGTAGTGGAAGAAAGTGAAGTGATTGAGTACTTAAGTATAAATGCAGTATGACTTATCGCTATGAAGCCAAGATATACCTTCAAGATAATCAACTTGACATTTGAATCATTTTCGCAGACTAGTAAAAGTTCTAGTAACCGAGATACCTGGATCAAGCAAAGCATGTAGTCATAACTCATAAGTCACTCACAAAACTAGATAAACATATGATAATTAATTTAAATAACAATAATAATAAGGTTAGAAACTTAGATATTAGAATGGGATGAAAACAAGTGAAAATGACCGCATGTGTATGTAAATGGGCAGCTAGCTGGTTGGGCAGAACTTTTTACAAGAAGCCTGGAAAGTTAATGACACTAAAAACTGCATCCTTCAAGGAGGTAAGATATCACATAAAAATGAAAATATAACTTCTCCACGCACCCCCTTCACTTCACAGTATCCACAAGCACTTCCGATACACATAATGAGCAAAGTCTCAAACTACACTCTATTCAGGCAAACATAAACCCAACTTAAACAACCACTAGCAGTAAGTATTTCTTCTTCTCTGAAATGGTAATCGACCATATGTGATTTGACCAATTCAATGACCATATCGACCAATTCAATTCAGCAATCAGAATAGCAGTAATTGCTCCGAAATATACACCATTATTGTGGTAAACATAAAGCAGACATCAATGGAATCAACCGGATTATTGGTGATTTAGTACTTATATTGATCCCTTGGAAACTTACCATAGCGTAAGAAAGAGCATTGAGTTGTTTGGGTCTGTTCAGTATGAACGTTCTCACACATGCAGTTTCCTCGACGAGAACCTAAGCATCCCAAAACGGAAAGTTGTGGAAAGAGTTAAAAGGAACTTATTTGCAAAGACAGTATAAGTATTAAGAGCTATTTCCATTTCAATTTTGTATCTAAAAGATAGTCGTACCCTAGAGCCAATGAGAAAACGAAAACCATCAATGAAACAAAGTTTAGAAACTGTAAACGTAAGGAATTCAGAAACCTCATCGGTGTGGCTGGTGGAAGAGAGAGGAGCCATGCTTCTTCTTTTGTTCTTGATAGTTTTGCCTTGGGTATTATCGCAGAACGGCAGAAATGAGCTTCACGATCTTCAGCGCGGTTAAACTTAAAATATAAATCACTCCCTCTCATAAAAATTGTTTGATCCTTATGGGTATGTTTGGACCAGCTTCTTAAAATTTCTTTTACTCTCAAATATTAGAGTGTTTGTTCCAAATTACTTTTAGAAACGGTCTTTTGGAAATGGGGGAGACCAACTTCTCTAAAACTGATTCTGATTCTACTACTTTTAAAGAAGAAGTAGAAGCTAAAGAAGAAGTAGAAGCAGAAGCAGAATCAGTTCCAACACTCCCTTAGATCCGAATTTAAGAAAATGAAAATAAAGTAAAAATGTGTGGTTTGTGGTTGAGGTTATGGTTGAGTGATAAAAAGGTAAATGGGTGTTAATCGGTCACAATACTTTCCAAAAAAAAGAAAATGGGAAGTGTTTTTTGAAACATCCAAAAAAGGTAAGTGAGAAGAATTTTAGGAAATGAAGGAAGTACTAATATGTAGAAAGTATATTAATTTCTTCCTCTTCATTTAATTTAGGAAAAATAACTTTAAATAATATCAACTATCACCCATAAACCAATAATGATACATACTTTGAAAATGCTTTTTAATAATATCAGCTATTTGAATATAAATAAAAATGATATGAAGTCACTTTTCATCAAGAAATTCACGCATTTAAGACATTAAAAACCAGTAGCAAACTGTCAAGTAAATGATATTTGGAAATACAATCATTATTTGATATTTTGATACTAGTTTTTGATGAATTAAATAACTGAATTTTCATTGAAAAATTGTTCTGTATTACTTTTGGTTTATGTTTAGATGGTTGGTATTTGTTAGAATATATTATCTCGGCCTACCACTATTCAGGAGCCCAAGGCATTACCCAGTACGGAGCCCGATCAATGAGGCCCGTTTCGACCACCCGGCCCACCTTGGCCCAGTAGGCCCATCTTGGCCCGTTGGCCCATTAGGGTGGCTTATTCTAAGCTATTCAAGAGAGAAGTGGGGTGTGGGGGAGAAGGTTAAAGATCCCTAAAAAATGGAGTTCTAAGCTATTCTAGAGAGAAGTGGGGTGTGGGGGAGAAGGTTAAAGATCCCTAAACATGGGCGCGGTCCCTTCTGGTTGGTTGTGAAAAGCCGATCGTCTTCCAGGTCTCCACGTGGTCGTGGGTTCGATTCCCACAGACAGTGCCAATGTTGAGTTTAATCCAACACGATATAATAAATATAGATATAATTTGGTATGAACACTCAATCTTTACGTGGAAACCCGAAAGGGAGAAAACCACAGGACTCTTTAAGCTTATGTCCAAGCCCTCTCGTTCTCATTAATCTCTCCTCACTATTACATAGTACAAAGTATTGAAGCTCCCATTAATGGAGTTCTAATCTAAAAAATGGAGTTCTAAGCTATTCTAGAGAGAAGTGGGGTGTGGGGGAGAAGGTTAAAGATCCCTAAACATGGTGGGAAAGCCCCATAAATATGGTATGGGACAAACTTAATGGGACGGAGGGAGTATTATATAAGGATTACTATTCATTAAAAAAGGCCTATTTTTTTGTAAATAGTGTAAATTCAACATGTTGCACTATTTAAGAACGGAAGTAGTATAATGATGATGGTGGTGGTGGTGGTGGTGGTGGACATAGCTTAGAACCCTTTCCCACCATTTCCCACCATGTTTAGGGATCTTTAACCTTCTCCCCCACACCCCACTTCTCTCTAGAATAGCTTAGAACTCCATTTTTTAGATTAGAACTCCATTAATGGGAGCTTCAATACTTTGTACTATGTAATAGTGAGGAGGGATTAATGAGAACGAGAGGGCTTGGACATAAGCTTAAAGAGTCATGTGGTTTTCTCCCTTTCGGGTTTCCACGTAAAGATTGAGTGTTCATACCAAATTATATCTATATTTATTATATCGTGTTGGATTAAACTCAACATTGGCACTGTCTGTGGGAATCGAACCCACGACCACGTGGAGACCTGGAAGACGATCGGCTTTTCACAACCAACCAGAAGGGACCGCGCCCAGTTCACAATCAGGCTCATCATTCCCTTCCGGGATGGAGACCTGGAAGACGATCGGCTTTTCACAGCCAATCAGGAAAGACTGCGCCCAGATTCACGGTCAATTTCACCATTCCCCTCCAGGATGGAGACCTGGCAGATGATTGGCTTCTCATAACCAATCAGGAGGGACTGCGCCCAGTTCACAGTCAGACTCACCATTCCCTTCTAGGATGGAGACTTGGCAGACGATCGGCTTCTCAGAACAGGTAAGGAGGGACCGCGCCCAGTTCACGGTCAGGTTCACCATTCCCTTCCCGGATGGAGACGACCAGCACAACCGTGGTCTGTGAGACGATTATCATTCACCGATAGGCCAAGGTCCTAGAGACGACCAGCACGACCGAGGGCCATGAGACGATTATCATTCACCGACAAGCCGAGAGCCTGTAGGCGACTATCACGGCCGAGGGTCGTGAGACGATCATCACAGCCATATGCAGCACGATCGGCCCCTCATCGCCATTATGTCTAGATCACGGTCGGCTCGCCCATTCCTTCCTGGATGTGGACCACCGTCTCATGTGGCATGATCGGCCCCTCAGCGCCATCGTGTCTAGGTCACAGTCGGCTTGCCCATTCCTTCCAGGATGGGGACCACTGTCTTATGCAGCACGATCGGCCCTTCAGCGTCATCGTGTCTAGGTCAAGGTCGGCTCTCCCATTCATTCCCGGATGGGGACCACTGTCTTATGCAGCACGATCGGCCCCTCAGTGCCATCGTGTCTATGTCACGTTTGGCTCGCCCATTTCTTCCAGAATGGGGACCACCGTCTTATGCAGCACGATCGGCCCCTCAGCGCCATCGTGTCTAGGCCACGTCGGCTCGCCATTTTCTTCCACGATGGGGACCACTGTCTTATGCAGCACGATCGGCCCTTCAGCGCCATCATGTCTAGGTCACGGTCGGCTCACCCATTCCTTCCAAGATGGGGACCACTGTCTTATGCAGCACGATCGGCCCCTCAGCGCCATCGTGTCTAGGTCACGGTCGGCTCGCCCATTCATTCCCGGTTGGGGACCACCGTCTCATGCAACACGATCATCCCCTCAGTGCCATCGTGTCTAGATCACGATCGATTGGCCCCTCAGCGCCATCGTGTCTAGGTCACGGTCGGCTCGCCCATTCTTTCCAGAATGGGGACCACCGTCTTATACAGCATGATCGGCCCCTCAGCGCCATCATGTCTAGGTCACGGTCGGCTCGCCCATTCCTTCCAGGATGGGGACCACCGTCTTATGCAGCATGATCGGCCCCTTAACGCCATTGTGTCTAGTTCACGGTCGACTCCGCCCATGATTTCCAGGAAGGGACGAGTAGTCTTATGCAGCACAATCGGCCCCTCAGCGCCATCGTGTCTAGTCCATGTTCGGCTCCGCCCATACCTTCCAGGATGGGGGGACCAGTCTTATGCAGCATGATCGACCCTTCAGCGACATCGTGTCTAGTTCATGTTCGGCTCCGCCCATGCCTTTCAGGATGGGGGACCAGTCTTATGCAGCACAATCGGCCCTTCAGCGCCATCGTGTCCGGTTCACGGTCAGCTCGCCCATACCTTCCAGGATGGGGACCACCGTCTTATGCAGCACGATCGGCCCCTCAACGCCATTGTGCCCAGTTCATCGATGAGATCCGCCGCTTTATATCACATCTGACACACCGTCTCTCATACATTGCACTCATACATTACACGCACTCATTTATTCATGCATCATGTCTCATACATTCATACATTCACACATACATCATATCTCGTCCTCTTCACATCGTCAATTTATACGTGCAAGGGCCTCTAAGCTTTTCGGTTAGGAAGCCAGAGCCCTTTACTCCCACCTGATACATTCAGGGGGGAGAGTGTCCGGGGAAGAGCGTCCCTTGCCCGATCCAATCGGGAGGGGGAGCGCCTTACCGGCAGATCGTGTTCAGTGGGGCAGACACCCACTCATATATCAGGATTACTCAAAGACGCAGGTCCAAAGAAGACAAGGAAGAGCGGGAGCAAGAGTATACTTTCTCGAGCAGATTCACATGCTCACTACTCAAGACACTGGGGGACTTGTGTTGGGATATATTATCTCGGCCTACCACTGTTCAGGTGCCCAATGCATTACCCAGTACGGAGCCCAATCAATGAGGCCCGTTTCGGCCACCCGGCCCACCTTGGCCAGTTGGCCATCAGGGTGGTTTGCACCCATTTCTCTTTCCCCTATAAATATGGGGCTTTCCCACCATGTTTAGGGATCTTTTTCCTTCTCCCCCCACACCCCAGTACCCCACTTGTCTCTATAATAGCTTAGAACTCCGTTAATGGGATCTATAATGCTTTGTACTATGTAATAGTCAGGAGTGATTAATGAGAAAGAGAGGGCTTGGACATTAGCCTAAAAAGTCTCGTGGTTTTCTCCCTTTCGGGTTTCCACGTAAAGATTGAGTGTTCATACCAAATTATATCTATATTTATTATATCATGTTGTATTAAACTCAACAATATTATTAAAAGTATTTTTCAAAGTATGTATTATTTTTTGTTCATGCAAGATAGTTTGTATTATTTAAAGTTATTTTCCCTTTAATTTAATAATATATGTTTGTTATAATTTTTTTCCTCTTCATTTATTATTAATAATGTTATTGTATTTAATAATTCTTTTTCAAGCTAGTAGCTCATTTTAGTTAACTATTAGCTTTCTCAAGTAGAAGGAAAAGCAATATTTCAATGATAAGCTATAAGCTTTTATACTACTTAGTTTATACTCCAATTTTGTAATAATGTTGCGATTTTTCAATTTGACGATATTAGGGGATTAAGTGTGGAGCATTTTTGAAGTCTATGGGTAGAAGTATCTTATACTCCAATTTTACAATATTTGAAGATCTAAAAGTGAAACAAATCAAATCTAGTACTAAAAGTATTACAAACATTATAATCCAAAGACTAGAAGTGACAAAAACTCCTTCAAGAAAAAAGTAATTACTCTTTAACTTTTTGTCAAATCTCTATGAACTTATGGATCATTCTTTTGTCTATAGTACATTTTCTCTTGTGTGTGCAATGAATGACTTATTTAATTACTACTTCGTATA